CTCCTGGCTCCTCAAGGTGCTGCTAGGAGTGGGGATGCTGGGGCCTTGACTGCTGACCCATGCTCACCACCAGAACTGCCCCCTTTTATGAGGGACACCTCCCCACCCCACCCCTGTTGCCTCTGCCCTCTGCCCAACACCTGTGTCTGTGTCAGGCCCAGTGTAGACAGCAGGCCCCTGGTGCTGAGTGGTATGGGGTCAGCAGGCAAGGGTCCACTCCCCTGGACCCTCACTCAGGGCAGCCTCAGGGCCAGGGGTCAGGTGGTCCCAGTAGTGGGGACTGTGGTGTGAGCCCAGGCTTCCAGGGGTCTACCACAACCATGCCTACTCCACGGAACTGAGGGCTGGGCACCAGAGGCGGGGCCTCTCTGACACAGGCTTCCAGGGGTCTACCATAGCCATGCCTACCCCACGGAACTGAGAGCTGGGCGCCGGAGGAATTTTCTTTTAGATGCTCTGTCTCTGTATTTTGAAAAACAACAGGCTGTGCTGTCTAGCTGCTACGTCTGTTATCTTGACATCACAGCAAAAACGAGTGTGCTGGCAGGTGGAGGGAGGAGGGGGAGCCAGCGACTGGGAGCTGCTGGGAGGTGCCCATCTGAGGGTCCTAGAAGCCCCAGCCTACCCAGTACACTGCCAACCCCAGGACCTTGCTGTGTCTCTGTTGACCCTTGTGCAGGCCCTGGGGGGGGGGGTCCATGCCATTTAAACCCATAGCTGCCAGCTGATAGAGGAGTCCTGCCCTGTCCCCGGGGTCCCCTGAGTCACCGGCACCCCGGTGGGGTCTGTGCAGCTGCCTGGCAGCTCAGGGTTGGGCTGTGTGACCCCCCACCCCAGGCATGTGAGCGTGGTTGCTTCTTCCTGGACCAGACAACCCTGAGGCCAGGGCGATACAAGCTTATGGCCAGGGGTGTCCTGGGCATTCAAGTGCGACAGCCATGGAGAACCTGCCTTGCTGAGGTCACATCTCCTGGGCTGTGTTCTATGAGCAGTGAACGAGAGGCCTTGAGCTGTGCCTGTTTGTGCGTGTGCTCCTGGGCACAGGATGAGGGCCGCCTAGTCCCGAGCTTCTTGTGTGGCCTGTCTGAGGCCACAGGAGAGGCCTGTTGTGTGTGTCTGGTCTGCTTTAGGCAGTGAAGGGGCTCCTTCTAAGACTCAGCTCCTCTGCGTGTGTGGGGGAAGGCCAGGCCCTGAACAGTGCTCGATTTGCAAGTCCTTGCGGTGCAGGCCTCTTCCCGAGGTCAGGAGGGGTCTGGGGAAGCGGCTGAGCCAAAGGCCCTGACCTGAATCACTGCTTCCGAGGCGGGGAACAGGTCCCTGCCCTGCTCACTGACCTCCCTGGCAGAACCTTGGCCAGGGTAGTGCTGGGTTCCTGCAGGCTGGGACCCTTCTTCTGGGTTCTGGGCAGCCCAGTGGTGCAGGAGTTGTCTGCTTTCCTAGGGAACTGCTGGAGTGGAGCAGGCTGGGCCCTGGGTGAGATGTGTGGCCCAGTGGCATCAGGAACCCAGTTTCAGTTTAGCTCAGGGCTGAGTTTTCGTTTGCCGGCTCCCAAGAGCCATCATTTGTTACCCCAGCTGCAGTGACCAGGGAGGTTGAGGGACAGGCACAAAGGCCGCTCACCGAGGTCTGGAGTTGTAGGGGCGCCTGGGGGTCTCGCTCTCAGGGTGTATGCCCCGCATGGCTACCACACGAGCATTTCTGCCTCCAGTTCTCTGGGCGTGTGCATGGTTGACTCTGCCATCAAGTGCAGGCCAGACATGGCTTGGGAGGGGTCTTGGACAACCACGGTGGTGGCATCCAGGACTGCTCCTGACTCTGCTCTCTCCCACAGCCCCGTGCAGCCCGTGCAGCCACACTGAGGTGCTCCTGGCCGTCTGCACCAGCGACTTCGGTGAGTCTCTGCCAGCTTTGTTTTGTCTAGTGTGTGTGGCTCCTGCCACCAGGCGCCTCTTTTGGGCCCAGCAGTCCCTCCTCAGGGCCCACAAGAGCTGCCAGTCCTGACACGAGACCCTGAGGTCTCTGCTGGAACTTCCTGCCCCATCACACTTGGAGTCTCTGGGCAAGCACGCTGCACATGCGTGTGGGTGGACACACACGGAGCATCGGGGAGTCCATGTTTTAGAGGGTTGTTGACGTGTTTTCCCATTTTGTCAGTGAGGTTGTTGCTCCAAGGGGCTCGTGAAGTCCCTTGTTCCCAGCCACTGTTGGAAGTGCTTTGTCCACGCCACGTCCCAAGGAGCAAGTCCCTTGTTCCTCGCCTGAGTTCCTGGAGGTGTCCCAGCCCCATTCTGGGAGTCTGAGGCCCTGGCGCTTACAGGTCTGAGGTCCACAGCCCCTTGCCAAGGAGGGTGACATGGTGGTGCGTGGAGCTCATCAGTCCTCTGCGTCCCAGTCCCAAGGGTGGAAGACAGGACGTGCTGGGCGTCCTCTGGCCACTGAACAGGAAGCGCACCTGTGTCTCTGACAGAGTGTCAGGGATGACCCTTCGCAGCTTCCTGCTGCGGAAACTCTGCTTTTAGACGGGGATTTCTTGAAGCAGAGTTGGGGGTTCAGCTCCTGGCTCCGATGCCTGTTGTAGCCAGGGGCGTGTAGGGCAGGGGTGCTGCTGGGCCCCTGAGCCCTCTGACTCTTCCCTTGCAGTTGTCCGAGGCTCCATCCAGGACGTCACCCATGAGCCAGAGCGGCAGGAGTCGACCATCCACCTGCGGGTGAGCAGGCTGTATCGGCAGAAGAGTAGGGTCTTCCGGCCGGCCCCCGAGGGTGCAGGCTGGCAGGGCCATGTCAGGACGCTGCTGGAGTGTGGTGTGAGGCCTGGGCCCGGCGACTTCCTCTTCACCGGCTACATGCACTTTGGGGAGGCGCGGCTCGGCTGCGCCCCACGCTTCAAGGACTTCCAAAGGATGTACAAGGACGCAGAGGAGAGGGGGTTGAACCCCTGTGAGGTCGGCACGGAGTGACCGTGGGCAGCCACGGTGCTGCCTTCTCCTCCTGAGGAGCCACTGCTGGCTGCCTTGGATGTGCCAGTCCCTGTGGGGGCTGCCTGCTGGGGGCCGTGTGTCAGGGGCCCCTGCCCGGTGTGCAGGCCCGGCCCAGAGCTCAGGCTGTGGAGGTCCAGCGGAGGACAGCCTGACTGACTGGAAGTGCTGTGGGCGCACACCGAGCTGCCTGTCAGTACTAGGAGAAAGAAGCATCCACAGGGTACCGCCTCGCACATCCCACATGCCTGCGTGGGCCCTGGCATCCCTGGCGAGGTGCAGCGTGCCTGGCTTGGCTTTGGGAGAAGCCGGGTGCCATCTGAGGGTCCTGATCTTCAGGTGGAAACTTACGGAGCCAAATATGTGTCATTTCATTTTGTTTTTGGTTTTAAGAGAACGGGCTCTCCAGTTATGGCCCTTTGTGGGCTGCGAGCTGTTCCGTTCCAGAGAATAAAGACCAGGATCCGACTGCACCGTGGTGTCTGTCTTCCCAGTGTCCTCGGCAGCCTTCTCTGCGCAAGGCCCCGAGCAAGCTGCTGGCCGCCTTCCTGCCAGACCACCTGCCGCCTCGGCCCTCCCTGCCCAGCTCCTGTCCTGTGACCTCAGCTTCTCTGGAATGCTTGAGTACACAGCAAGTCTCTGCACACTCAGGGGCTAGTTTGGGTGGGGTCGGTGGGCCCCATCCTCAGAGGACAGGTTCTCTGTGGCTGCAGTCTCAGATCCAGGGGCCTGGAGTGCAGTCGTCTTCTCCCAGGGACAGAGGCCATGGGGTCGCTCTGAGGACTCCTTCCAGCTTCCGCCCCCTTCCTGTTAGGAGAGCAGTGGTCACTGGGTTAGGCCCAGGCTGATGACCCTGCCTTGATTTGTCTCCTTCTGTAAAGACCCCATTTCCAAATATGGTCGCATTTAAAGCTTCCAGGTAGACATGGAACTTGGGGGACACCACTCACCCCAGGGCAGAGTACCCCGAGGGGTCAGAAGCCAGGCCTGCTCCCCCGTGGATGAGCCGGGGGCTCTTCTGAGCAGCTGCTGAGGTAGGGCTGAGGGGCTCTGCCTCAGTGGACGCTCGGGCACCCTGGGCGGCAGGGAGGCTGTCATCTGGCTCGGGCCGTGCAGGCGCAGGTGTGTGCTGGCTCAGGTCTGCAGGCTCCTGCAGGTCATAGCAGGCAGCAGGTGCGTGTGGGTGAGGATGTGAAGCAGCAGGTTGGTGATGGGCGGCTCCCGCTGTGATGGAGTGAGACGCAGGCAGCAGGGAGGTGCAGGCCCACGGCAGGAGGAGTGAGCCTGCTCCTGATTCTGGGCAGCAGTGCCTCGGGGATTCTGGGCTGGCTCCAGCAGGCGTGGCTCTGTAAGAGGAGGCTGTGGAACCAGTGTCAGGTGCTGGGGCTCTGCCAGGATGAGAACAAGCAAGGGCCTGACCTGTGCTGATGTCAGCAGCAGCAGGTGAGTTCGTCGCTCTGTCACCGGAGCCTGCTCTCCCAGAGGGCCGCACGGCACCATCTGCGTCCCCAGCAGGGCCGTCACCGGGGGGCAGAGCCCCGGGACCTTCTGTGGTTCTGTCCAGTGGGTAAAGGGGAGAGGTGTGTCCACTGGGGCCCAATCCCACCTTCCCTCCTGTGGGGCATCTGCTGGATGGCCTGGTCGGAACCTCCTGCATCTGAAAGGAGGGGTGGCTGTGGGGGACAGGGGGTGCCTGCAGGTCCTGGGGCCTCACCCACTGTGGAGGACAGGGGTCCTGGGCCTGCTGGGTGAGATGGGGAGTCCCTCCTCCCCTTGACCTCTCAGATGGATTAATTCAGGCCGGCAGGGTAGGGTTGGCCCTAGCCAGTGCTGCCTACCTCCCTCAGACATCATGATCCCTCTGCAGGGAGTCACTGTGGCCCCTTTGGCTTGGCTGCCATGTGGTTGCAAGGGGTGGGGGTCCCAGGAGGAGTTTGTGAGAGCCCAGGTTCATTCCTCAGGCGTGGGAGGAGGCTTCCTGTGTGCAGGGGAGAGTTCATTCTAGACGATGGATGATGGTTTTTTTTTTTTTTTTTTTGACAGGCAGAGTGGACAGTGAGAGAGAGAGAGAAAGGTCTTCCTTTTCCATTGGTTCACCCCACAATGGCCGCTGCGGCTGGCGCACCTCGCTGATCCGAAGCCGGGAGCCAGGTGCTTCTCCTGGTCTCCCATGGGGTGCAGGGCCCAGGATGATGGGGTTTTGCTGTGAAAACAAGGGGCACAGACGCCAGTCTGTGGGGCCATGATGGGGGTTGGCTTGTGCAGAGGCCCAAGGCAGCAAGCCCCGATTCCAGAGGCTCTTCCAGGGAGGGGCTAGGCAGGGCCCTGCATGGTTCTCTTGAGCTTCTGCATCTGGACCTCCCTCTTCCTCTCCCCTAGGAGGGTCTCCACACCCCTCAGGGGCTGTCCCGTTGTGATGGCATCAGCCCTGGCTGTGGGTCTCCTGTCCACACCAGGGAGCACCCCGGCCTGGCCAGCACACTGGAGTCTGGCTGCTGCCAATCACTTGCAGGGGCTGGCGCCGTGGTGCAGTAGGTTAATCTTCTGCCTGTGGTGCCAGCATCCCATATAGGTGCTGGGTTCTAGTCCCGGCTGCTCCTCTTCCAATCCAGCTCTCTGCTATGACCTGGGAAAGCAGTGGAAGATGGCCCAAGTCCTTGGGCCCCTGCACCCGCATGGGAGACCCTGAGGAGGTTCCTGGCTCCTGGCTTCAGATCACCGTAGCTCCAGCTGTTGCAGCCATCTGGGGAGTGAACCAACAGAAGGAAGACCTCTCTCTCTGTCTCTCCCTCTCATTGTCTGTAACTCTACCTCTCAAATAAATAAGTAAAATCTTTAAAAAAAATTACTTGCAGATGAGTGTCCACCTAGGTGACAACACAGGAAGTCAGGACAGGACGGTGGCAAGTGTTTTGAGGGGACCAAAGCCACAGGATGAAGGCCTGTCTACACAGGAGGGCATGGCTGTTGAGACTCCCCAGCAGGAACCACGTGGGGCTGTGAGAACGTGAGGAATCCAGTGTCTACACTGGGCCATTGTGCTGTGCCGCCCAGGGCAGGCGCTGATTTGTAAAACAGCAGAGCTTCGGTTGGTATCACAGTGGTGAGGTCACGACCGCCGGGGGCTTTGGAATTTTGTCTTCAGAAGAATTTTGCTTACCAAGCTACATACTTTCCTAGTCATCAGTTTAATCGGGGCAAGATGAAAAGGTGCTAATAAACAAAGAAACAAGAAAATAACCCAGCGGGCTCCGGGGGAGGGGGAGGGGTAGCCCCTGCGGTGTGTGGGGCAAGGAGGGGAAGGCAGAGAAATAGGACGTCCCTGCCAGAGGAGGGGGCACACGGGGCCCTGTGTGCACCTGTGTGTGCATGTGGGGTGTATGTACAGTGTCTGTGTGTGTTGCATGTGTTTGTGTGTTTTTGTCTGGTATGTATCCACAAGTTTTAGTCTGTGTGCAAATATCTGTATCTGTGTATCTGTCAAAGTCTGTGTTGCTTGTATTTGTGCATGTGTCTGTATGTCTGTGTTTCTGGTATGTATCCACAAGTGTGTGTGTGTGTGTGTGTGTCCATGTGTCTGTGTGTGTCTGGTATGTATCCACAAGTGTCTGAGCCTGTGTACAGGTGTCTATATCTGAGTGTCTGTCTAGGTATGTGCTGCTTATATTTGTGCATTCGTCTGAGTGTATTTCTGGTATGTATCCACAAATGTGTGTGTGTGTGTGTGTCCACGTGTCTGTGTATGTCTGGGATGTATCCACAGGTGTCTGTGTCTGTATGTGTCTGGGTGGCTGTCTGTGCCTGGTTTGTATCCACAGGTGTCTGAGTCTGTGTACAGGTGTCTACATCTGTGTGTCTGTCTAGATGTGTGCTGCTTGTGTTTGTGCATGTATCTTGTATGTATCCACAGGTGTCTGTGCCTGTGTACAGGTGTCTGTCTGTGCTGCATGTGTCTCTCTGTGTGTTGCATGTTTGCATATGTGTATCCACAGGTATCTGTGTATGCATTGTATGTGTTTGCATGTGTGTCTTGTGTCCACAGGTGTCTGTGTACAGGTGTCTATATCTGTGTGTCTGTGTTGCGTGTGTCTGTGTGTCCCTGTGTCTTCCTGTGCATGGGCAATGTATGGTGTCACTTTCTGAACCTCTACCCCCTAGGGAGCCCCTCTCAGGGGGGCAGATCCAGGGGACCCTCACCACCCCAGTTCCTGGTTACATTGCCGCTGGCTCTCCCCTGCCTGAAGTTCTCTCCACGGCCCTTCCCAGCAACCATGCAAGGGCTGTCTGCTGGCCATGGGAATGTCCGCTTTCCCTAGAGCTGAGGTCACTGTTGAGGACTTGCTCCCCTGTCTGAGTGAAGGACTGTCCCCCCAACCCAACCTCAAGGTCTGAGTGGAGCAGGCAGAGGGTTACGGGAGGGATGGCCAGGGATTGGGATGCACATGTGGACAGAGGCTTCCTCGCAGTGCATGGCTCCACCTGCTCGGGTCTGCGGTCACTCTGAGTTGTCCCTGGTAGATGGGACACCTGACACCATCAGACACACTGCATGGCCTTCAGGCAGTTCATGATGGCTCGCACTGCGGCCTCACGGTTCTCTCCCTCTTGTCTGAGGGCCGCCCATGTCAAGTCCTTCCTCCCTTCCTAGGGCACTGTGTGCCCCAGAGAGGCTGACAGGAAGATGTGGGGAGCTGGGGGAGATTGATCTGTAGTTGGAGAAAAGCCCCTGGGGGTGTGGGGAGTGCAAGGAACGCCTGGGCCTCCCAAAGCACTCCAGCCCAGCAACAGCCTTTGCCCGCTTAGCACTGAAGTGTCCAAAAGAAACTTTACTAAGAACTGAGGGAAATACTGAAAATAGCATCAGAACAGCCAAGGGCATGTTTCTGACTGTAGGTAGCTAGCATCTGGCCACGGTCACTGCATTGGCCCTGTCTGCAGGGCCCAGCGCAGTCCTGTGCTGCCTTGGCCCTGCCACCCAGCCAAGGCACCGAGGCAGTGACAGTGGGGTCTGTGGAGTCTGTGGGAAGACCTTCGAGGGGGTGCGGGGACCCTTTGGGAGGCACAAATGAAGTCCACGCAGATGAAGTGCACAGCAGGTGAAGCCCATGCAGAGACAGAGACAGAGAGAGAGAGAGAGGAGAGATCTTCCACCTGCTGGTTTACTCTCAAATGCCTCCAGTGGCTGGGGCTGGGCCAGGCTGAAGCCAAGAGCTCTGAACTCAACTGGATCTTCCATGTAAGCATCATCCGCTGCCTCCCAGGGTGTGAGTTAGCAGGAAGCTGGGATTGGGAGTGGAGCTGGAACTGGAACCCAGGCACTCTGATGTGCAGGGATCCCAAGCAGCATCCTAACCACTAGGCCAAACGCCTACTGCTATAGTTGAGTTCTAATAATCTACTTGTAAACATCAAATCAGCACAGCTTGGTTACTGCATGTGTTCGCTTCTTGGGCTGCCATAGCAAAGTGCTCATAACTGGTTGGCCCTAGTTTCTGGGGGCCAGAAGTCCAGAACCAAGACATTGCAAGGGCTGTGACCCCTCAGCTGGTGGGCATCTCTGGGGCAGCTCCAGGGAGAACCCTTCTTTGCTGCTTCCAGTGTCTGCTGAGCTGGGGAGCCCTGGTGACCCTTCGCTGGTGGAGACCCCATTCTGTCTACCCACCACAGCACCCATGTCCACATCTTTCCTACCCTGACAACCCAATTTCAATTTGATTGAATTTGCAAAGACCTAGTTTCCAAATAAGATCCCACCTGATGTGTGTGTGGAGAACAAATCCTGGGCCCCACCCCAGGAAGCTTAGTGATATGCACCCCTCTTAAGAACAATTTTTAGGGACAGCGCTATGGTACAGCAAGTTAAGTCTGCAGTGCCAGCATCCCATATGGGCACTGGTTTGAATCCTGCTGTTCTATTTATTTTTATTTTTTTGACAGGCAGAGTGGACAGTGAGAGAGAGAGAGACAGAGAAAGGTCTTCCTTTGCCATTGGTTCACCCTCCAATGGCCGGCGCGCTGCGGCCGGCGCACCACGCTGATCCGATGGCAGGAGCCAGGTACTTATCCTGGTCTCCCATAGGGTGCAGGGCCCAAGTACTTGGGCCATCCTCCACTGCACTCCCTGGCCACAGCAGAGAGCTGGCCTGGAAGAGGGGCAACCGGGACAGAATCCGGCACCCTGACCAGGACTAGAACCCGGTGTGCCGGCGCCACAAGGCGGAGGATTAGCCTAGTGAGCCGCGGCGCCGGCTGAATCCTGCTGTTCTACTTCAGATCCAGCTCCCTGCTAATGTGACTGGAAAAGCAGTGGAGGATGGTCCAGGTGCTAGGGCCCCTGCATCCACGTGGGAGACTGGGAGGAGACTTCAGGCTCCTGGCTTCAGATTAGCACAGCACTGGCCATGGTGGCCATTTGGGGAGTGAACCAGTGGATGGACGATCTCTCTTTCTCTTTCAGTCTCTCCCCCCCTCCCTCTGTAACTTGGCCTTTCATGTAGATAAAAACAAATTAAAAAAAAAAAAGAGGGGCTGGCGCTGTGGCACAGTGGGTTAAAGCTGTGGCCTGCAGCACAGGCATCCCATATGGGCACCGGTTCAAGTCCCGGCTGCTCCACTTCTGATCCAGCTCTCTGCTGTGGCCTGGGAAAGCAGTAGAAGATGGCCTAAGCCCTTGGACCCCTGCATCCACATGGGAGACCCAGAAGAAGCTCCTGGCTCCTGGCTTTGGATCATCTCAGCTCTGGCCGTTGCAGTCATTTGGGAAGTGAACCAGTGAATGGAAGACCTCTCTCTCTCTCTCTCTCTCTCTCTCTGGCTCTACCTCTCTGTAACTCTGTCTTTCAAATAAGTATTTAAAAAAAATAAAAAATAGAAATCTATATTCATTTTTTAAAATTAAAGACTCAATCAATAACATAAAATGCACCAATGGTAGGATTTTTTTAAAGCATTTTATTATGTTTTAAAATTTGCTTTAATTATTTGAAAGGCAGAGAGACACTGACAGAGAGCTCCTACCTGTCAGTTCACTCTTCAAATGCCCTCAAAGTCTAGCACTGGGCCACATCAAAGCCAAGAATCCGCCACTCCGTCTGGTCTCCCGTTTGAGTGGCAGGGCATCACCTGCTGCCTGCCTCCCAGGTGTGCACTCAGCAGGAAGTTGGAATTGGGAGTGGAGCTGGAACTCACACCCGGGCACTCCAGGACGGGACGTGAGTGTCCCAGTGGAGTCTCTTCTGCTGCCCCAGACGCCTGCCCAGAAGGGTTTTGTGGTTGCCCACACTGTGCACTTTGCACCCTTTCCCTTGCCAGGGAACTCACTGGTGAGTTTCTGGGCCTTCCACAGCACACACTGCTGGGATGAGACGCCACGTGTTCAACAGCATGGTTGAGCTGTGTCCTCCCAGAAGGTGGATCTGCGTGCTAGCCCCAGGACCTGTCAGTGTTGTCATTTGGAAATGGGAACTTTGCATAATCCAGTTAAGATGAGGTCATCACAGTGGGCCCGGATCCAGTGGTCTGCTGTCCCGAGAACACACGGGGATTTGGGGGAGCCAGGGCTGCCTGCAGCTCCAGAGTGGGAGAGGCCGGGAGGCCTGTCTGGTGCTGCCCTAGTCGCTCTAGCTGGCACATCGGGCTCCACACACTTTGATTTTGGACTCTGTCCTCCAGAGCTGCTGTTGGAAACTGCCTGGTCTGTGGTCATTTGTGATGGCAGCTCGGGCACTCACACACATCTGGGTGCTCACACATATCTGTGTCCTCACACATACCCAGACCCTCACACACACCCGGACCCTCACACATACCCGGGCCCTCACACACACCCGGGCCTTCACACACACCCGGACCCTCACACACACCCGGATCCTCACATACACCTGGGCCCTCACACATACCCAGACCCTCACAAACACGCAGACCCTCACACATACCTGGGTACTCACACACACCCGGACCTTCACACACACCCGGGCCCTCACACACACCCGGATCCTCACACACACCTGGATCCTCACACACAACTGGATCCTCACATACACCTGGGCCCTCACACATACCCAGACCCTCACAAACACACAGACCCTCAAACATACCTGGGTACTCACACACACCCGGACCTTCACACACACCCGGGCCCTCACACACACCCGGATCCTCACACACACCTGGATCCTCACACACAACTGGATCCTCACATACACCTGGGCCCTCACACATACCTGGGCCCTCACACATACCTGGGTACTCACACATACCCGGGCCCTCACACACACCCGGGCCTTCACACACACCCGGACCCCCACACACACCTGGATCCTCACACACAACCGGATCCTCACATACACCTGGGCCCTCACACATACCCAGACCCTCACAAACACGCAGACCCTCACACATACCTGGGTACTCACACACACCCGGACCCTCACACACACCCGGGCCCTCACACACACCCGGGCCTTCACACACACCCGGGCCCTCACACACACCCGGACCCTCACACACACCCAGATCCTCACACACACCCGGGCCTTCACACACACCCGGGCCCTCACACACATCTGGGCCCTCACACACAACCGGAACCTCACACACACTTGGGTCCTCACACACACCCAGATTCTCACACACATCTGGGCCCTGACACACACTCGGGCCTTCACACACACCTGGATCCTCACACACACCCGGATCCTCACACACAACCGGATCCTCACACACACTCGGACCGTCACATACTCCTGGGCCCAACACACACCTGGATCCTCACACACACCCAGGCCCTCACACACACCCGGGCCTTCACACACACCCGGGCCCTCACACACACCCAGATCCTCACACACACTTGGGCCCTCACACACACTCGGGCCTTCACACACACCCGGGCCCTCACACACACTGGGGCCCTCACACACACTTCGGGCCTTCACACACACTTGGGCCTTCACACACACCCGGACCCTCACACACACCCAGATTCTCACACACAACCGGATCCTCACACACATCCGGGCCCTCACACACACCCGGACCCTCACACACACCCAGATTCTCACACACACCCGGATCCTCACACACATCCGGGCCCTCACACACACCCAGATCCTCACACACACTCGGACCATCACATACTCCTGGGCCCAACACACACCTGGATCCTCACACACACCCAGGACCTCACACACACCTGGGCCCTCACACACACCTGGACCCTCACACACACTCGGACCCAAACACACTCTCGGGCCTTCACACACACCCGGATCCTCACACACATCCGGGCCCTGACACACACTCGGGCCTTCACACACACCCGGATCCTCACACACATCCGGGCCCTCACACACACTCGGGCCTTCACACACACCAAGATCCTCACACACACTCGGACCCAAACACACTCTCGGGCCTTCACACACACCCGGATCCTCACACACACCCGGACCCTCACACACACCCGGACCCTCACACACAACCGGATCCTCACACACATCCAGGCCCTCACACACACCCGGACCCTCACACACACCTGGGCCCTCACACACACCCGGACCCTCACGCACACCCAGATCCTCACACACATCCGGGCCCTCACACACACTCGGGCCTTCACACACTCCCGGGCCCTCACACACACACCTGGACCCTCACACACACCCGGACCCTCACACACACCCGGGCCCTCACACACACCCGGATCCTCACACACACCCGGGCCCTCACACACACTCGGGCCTTCACACACACCAAGATCCTCACACACACTTGGACCCAAACACACTCTCGGGCCTTCACACACACCCGGATCCTCACACACACCCGGGCCTTCACACACACCCGGGCCCTCACACACACCCGGGCCCTCACACACACTCGGATCCTCACACACATCCGGGCCCTCACACACACCCAGATCCTCACACACATCCGGGCCCTCACACACTCCTGGACCCTCACGTACACCCGGGCCCTCACACACACCCGGATCCTCACACACATCCGGGCCCTCACACACACCCAGATCCTCACACACACTCGGACCATCACATACTCCTGGGCCCAACACACACCTGGATCCTCACACACACCCAGGACCTCACACACACCTGGGCCCTCACACACACCTGGACCCTCACACACACCCGGGCCTTCACAAACACCCGGATCCTCACACACACCCGGATCCTCACACACACTTGGGCCCTCACACACACCCGGACCCTCACACACACCCGGGCCCTCATACACACCCGGACCCTCACACACACCCGAGCCCTCACACACACCCGGATCCTCATGTACACCTGGGCCCTCACACACACCTGGGCCCTCACACACACCCAGGCCCTCACACACACCCGGACCCTCACACACACCCAGATCCTCACACACACCCGGGCCCTCACACACACCCGGACCCTCACACACACCCGGACCCTCACACACACCCAGATCCTCACACACACCCGGGCCCTCACACACACCCGGACCCTCACACACACCCGGACCCTCACACACACCCGGGCCTTCACACACACCCAGATCCTCACACACACCCGGACCCTCACACACACCCGGATCCTCACACACACTTGGGCCCTCACACACACCCGGACCCTCACACACACCCGGACCCTCACACACACCCGGGCCTTCACACACACCCGGGCCCTCACACACACCCGTATCCTCACACACACTTGGGCCCTCACACACACCCGGACCCTCACACACACCCGGGCCCTCACACACACCCAGATCCTCACACACACTTGGGCCCTCACACACACCCGGATCCTCACACACACCCGGACCCTCACACACACCCGGGCCTTCACACACACCCGGGCCCTCACACACACCCGGACTCTCACACACACCCGGATCCTCACACACACCCGGGCCTTCACACACACCCGGGCCCTCACACACACCCGGACTCTCACACACACCCGGATCCTCACACACACCCGGACCCTCACACACACCCGGATCCTCACACACACCCGGGCCCTCACACACACCCATATCCTCACGCACACTTGGGCCCTCACACACACCCAGACCCTCACATACACCTGGGCCCTCACACACACCCGGGCCCTCACACACACCTGGACCCTCACACACACCTGGGCCCTCACACACACTGGGAGCTGCTGGCTTGGTGACCCCTCCAGGCCCTGGGGGGGGTCCTGCCTGGGCCTGCGGCCAGCACTGCTGGAGGGGTCTGCACAAGAGGTGGAAGCTGCCACTGCTCCACCCCCTTCTCCAGCACGTGGACCTGCATGTCGATGCCACTGCCTCCCTCCACCCCATCTGCTGGTGCCCCGGGGTTCTCCAGCCCTCTTCCTTTCTGGGCCTGGGAATGGAAGAGGCTGGTGAAGGAGCCAGGCCTGGGGTGGGGACAGAGGGGCTCCCAGCCAGGTGGGGAGTCCACCTCTACCAGGCCCCTCGGCAGCCCAGAGGTGGTGGCCTGAGCCCCCAGGATGCCCTGCTTAGCACTGGGAGCACGGAACATGCCCCGTGAGACCAGCACCACCGACAGACAGGGCAGCCAGCTGTGCAGGGCCACACAGACCTGAGGGAGTTGCTCAAGACCCTCATCGCTTTCAGCACAATGACAGGGCCTGGGTGTGGCAGAGAACCCCGCGCTGCCCCTCAGTGGGTTTCTCACACATCCTGGCAGCTCAGAGGCCAGGGTGGGCTGGCAGCACTTGGGCAGATGGCTGCTCCCAGGGTGCTCTCCAGCAGGGGTGGCTGTGCTGGCCTACAGGCCCCCAGCGGGCCCTGGTCTAACCCACCTGGAGCCAGGCTTCTGGCTTCACCTACAGAGATCCCGGCACACGGCCATGCACCTCCACCAGGCCACATGCACCTCTACCTTGGCCACAGAGGGTGCCCTGGGAGAAGCACCTCCTCGCTGGGGATTCCAGAACCCTGTGCAGAACAAGAAATGAGGCCGTCACCCCAGGACTGCCCACCCACCACTACCACAGGGGTCCTGCTTCGGGACCACCTCTGAGGCCAGGGGTCTCCTGGCCCTGGCTCCCACTGGCTCTGGGGCCCTGCCTCAAGCCTGGCCAGGCCTCTAAGGGCAGCTCCACACTCATTTGGCAGTGTGGGGTGGTGTCACAGCCCAGGAATGCAGGAAGAAGCGCGGACTCTGGCACAGGGATGGTGCAGCACACCGAGAATGTGCCCTTACAGAGATAATTGTGCATTTGGGAACCACAGCCTAATGGCCCCAACGGATGCCACCAGCAGTTTCCTTCATGGCGAGCTGAGACCACAGTGGTGCCATGGGGGGAAGGCGTCCCCAAGCCTCCAGAGATGACCACGCTGCTTGGGCCCCTACCATCCTGACCAAGGGTGCCTGGGATGGGCTGGGCCTGACTGTGGGCGCCCCTGCAGCCCAAGGAGGCCCCAAGGCAGGGCCGACACAGGGCTGTCAGCACCGAGGCCTGATTTCAGGGGAGGAGCCTGATCACTGCATACTGGGCAGGCAGCGTGGGCAGCGTGAGCTGAATGACCCCATTGTGTGGAGTGAGGCTGAGAGGCCAAACCCAGCAGGCTGGGCAGAGCTGTGCCTTTCCAACCTCCGTTCCTCTGTGCCCCCCAGACCAGGGATCTCAGCAAGCACCGAGCAGTGGAGCTTAGTGTGGCCTTCTGGACAGACAGCCCTGGGCGACAGCGCCTGCCTCCAGGGAGCAGCCTCCTCTGACGCACTGTGCCCGGGCCTGTCTTCCCAAGGGAGGCGGGTCACCACACCTGTGGGAGCCTTGGCTGTCTGAGCCAGCAGGTGAGGCCTAGGCGGCCCCTGCAGCTGAGGCCACCTGGTACCCAGGAGGCATCTGGGCGTGTGCCCCAATTTGCACTTTCAGTCTAGTGAGAACCTCTCACTTCCCACTTTTATCCAGAGCGGCGAGGGACTCAGCATCTGTGTGGTTGGTGTGGTCCAGAGAGCTGGAGTCTGTGTCCATGGGCAGAGGATGGCCTTTGAGGCCCAGTTTCCCTCGGCTCCCTCAGCTTGGGCTTCACCTCAGGAGCAGGCAGCAGGTGCAGATGTCACATTGGAAACCCATCAGTCACCAAACCATTACAGTGTTGATTTCTCCTGTGGCCAACTGGTTTGAACTTTGACAGGCTGGCTGTGGGCACCTTGGGCAGCCTGGAGGTGAGGGTGGGGTCAGAAGCAAGCAGGGAGCACACTGCATCGTGGACACAAGCAACGAACCATCAGCTGCATTGCTGGTGGCACAGCACTCAGCAGTCCCTGGGGTTCTGATGAGGAACGACCTTCCCTGCACACACACGGTGGCACAGCACATGACCCTGGCCCTGTGTTTTGTCTGACAAGGCCCTGGCCATCCCTGGAGCTGAGGAACTGACTGTTCTGCAAACTCACGACTTCTTTTTTCCTCAAATCCTGCTCATAAGAAGTGTGGGGGTCTCCATGCCTCCACTGGGGGAGACCGAGGCCTGGCAGTGCCGCATTGCTGAGACCAAGTGAGAGTCATGGGTAGAAGGAAGGAGCTGCCGGCCGTGACCAGTGGCCCATCCTGTGCTGGCCCCGAGGGTCAGCTTTGGCAGGGAGCAGGGAGAGGGCCAGCGCGGGGTTCCGCTGAGGGAGTCCGGCTCCTCGGAAGCCCCGGATCCCGTCGCATCCTCACTCGCAGCAGCAGGGCTAAGGGGGAAATCGCAGCGCCCTCTCCCCAAAACTTCAAGCCCAAAACCTCAGGAGTCATCCCGAGGAATCTCCACCCCTTTCTCCCTGGGAGACCTGAGATGGATGGGGGGTTGTTGAGGGACTGGGGGCATGGGTCTCCCCTTCATGTGTGTGTGTGTGGAGGGAGAGGGATTGGGTCTCCTGCCTTCATGTGTGTGTGTGGGGGGTTGTGTGTGTGTGTGTATGGGTGAGGGGAGGGGTTGGATCTCCTGCCCTTCATGTGTGTGTGGGTGAGGGGAGGGGTTGCATCTCCTGCCCTTCATGTGTGTGTGGGTGAGGGGAGGGGTTGCATCTCCTGCCCTTCATGTGTGTGTGGGTGTAGAGGGGTTGGGTCTCCCCTTCATGTATGTGGGTGTGGGTGTAGAGGGGTTGGGTCTCCCCTTCATGTATGTGGGTGTGGGTGTAGAGGGGTTGGGTCTCCCCTTCATGTATGTGTGTGGGTTGGGGGGAGGGGTTGGGTCTCCTGCCCTGTGTGTGTGTGTGTGTGTGTGCGGGGGGGTTGAGTCAATGCTGTTCTTCTGAGCCCACGGTCGGGGTCACATGGGACCCACACACCTGAGCAGCTCGAGATTTCAGCGCAAGAAGGAGCCTGGGCGGAGTGGGCAGACTGTAGGGCCTGTGTCTGCCCCAGGTTGTGGTGGATCTCGTCCAGGTGCCATCCCCGGTGCAGCTTCTGCGTGTTGTCATTAAATCCCAGGATGTGGAATCTCATCTCTGGCAATCCTGTCTTCCCCGTGGTGGAGCCGATGGGCAGAGTCGGAGCCATGTCCTGCCCTTGCCAGATGTTTGCGGCCAGATCGGCTCCCGGGTCCTGTCCCCTCTGCAGTTCAGGGCTGGACGCAGGGGCCTGGAGTCTGCCAGAGCAATCTCCCCAGAAGGCAGTGTCTTGGATCCACTGCATTGAGCACACTGCTGTGTCATGAAATGTCCACAGGCTGGAGCTCCCTGCTCCTCTTTTGTGACCCAGAGCAGCTGTTGTGGCCAGATCTGGGCCCTGGTGCTCCTGGGAGGATGGCGCCGGCCACCGTGGGCTCAGATCATGCCTGAAAATGGTGAGACTGAGGTGGGGTGGGAGACACTTCCTTACCGTGAGGCTCTGGCTTCCTTGCACTCTCACCCTGGGGAGAATGTTGGGAAAGGTTTGGCCACAGTACCCAGACAGCTTCTAGTTCAGGCTACCCTTGGGCTGGGTGACGTTGGGCAGGTGGCTACCCTTGGGCTGGGTGACGTTGGGCAGGCTTCTTTGGACCTCGCTTAGGGCAACTCCCAGTGCCTTTCCCCTCCTTCCCTCCAGCTCCTGTGTGAAGGTGTCTCCTAAGGTTTAGGCGCATCGGGTATGGTGTACACAGGGCATGGCTCCACTCTAGTCTCTCCCCCAGTAAAACTTCCCAGAGGCCAGGTTACTGCCCTGGGAATCCAGGGCCTACACTGTCCCGAGTCTTCCTCTCTTTGCAGCTGTCCAGGACTGGGCAGAGGCTCAGGGGTCTGTGCTGACTGTGTGGGTGTCTGGGCTCAGCCCTGCTGTTCAGACAGCACACACCTTGTGTGCTGACCCCAGGACTCTGCTGGTGTCGTGGCAACTGGAGGCCGCGGCTGTCTCCACGGCAGCGGCTGCTCCTGACCTCCCCCAGAGTTCTTGCTCCTTGGAGGCCCTGTCTGGGTTGCCCAGGAGCCTGAGCATGAGGCGGCTGAGGCCAGCAGCTTATGGCTCTTGGTGTCAGAGGAAGGTAAGGGCGGGTGAGCAATGAGCTGTGATGGGGGCGGCTGGGATCCCAGACAGTCGTGGCCTCATGGGGCCAGACGGCTTTGTCAGCCCTCCTTCAACTGACCCCAGCTCTGGTGGGCAAACATTGAGAAAACTGTGGGAATAGAGACTGTTGACCAAACGCGGAGAAGGAGGCACTGAGCCTGAGAAAAGTCTGCAGAGAGCAAACACTGTGGGTGCTGACCCCGCTGGAACAGTGACTGCTGTTGCGAGAGCCTGGCCCTGGCTGGGGCCTTCCCATGCCAGCCAGGGTGGGGACCGGCGGGTGGGGTTCCTTCTCCCGTGTAAGTGGGCAGCCCTCCCCAGCCCCCTGAGGCCTGAGCAGGTAGGGTCTGGGTGTCGTGTCCACCCAGGTCTCCTTCTGGGCCTGGGCAGGATTGAGGGCTTGTCTCAGAGTGGCAGGAGATGGACAGGGACAATGTTTACACAGGTTAGTAACAAAGGTATTGACGAGGCCGCTTGGACTTGGCGTGTTTTCTGGGAAGCTGAGCCTGGTGGGCAGTGCGTACTCTGGCACAAGGGCCTGCACTGGAAGACGAGACTCAGAGCACCTGAAGGTTCCAAGTGGCATTGAAGGAGCTGGCGCTGAGGTGCAGCAGGTTAACACCTTGGCCTGAAGCACCAGCATCCCATATGCATGCCGGGTCGAGACCCGACTGCTCCACTTGCAATCCAGCTTTTTGCTATGTCCTGGGAAAGCAGTAGAAGATGCCCCAAGTCCTTGGGCCCCTGCACCCACATGGGAGACCCGGAGGAAGCTCCTGCCTCCTGGCTTCGGATCGGCAGCAGTTGCGGCCAATTGGGGAGTGAGCCAGCGGATGGAAGACCTCTTTCTCTCTCGCTCTGCCTCTCCTCTCTCTGTGTAACTCTGATTTTCAAATAAATAAATAAATCTTTTTTTAAAAAAAAAAAAAAAGAAAATTGGCATTGCAGGCATTGCAAAGAGAATCTGGGGGCTTGGCCTGGCAGTCAGCTCACTGGGCACAGAGGCCATGAACTCAACTGCCCACAGCAGGACGGTGTCAGACCCCAGCTCCTGGTATGGTTCCATCAGCACCATGCAATCTCTCCACGTGCTGGGCCTGTGCTTGAGGACCCTCACCCGCAGAGGACATAACCCTGAGGCAGAAACCAGAATGCCCTGGGCGTGGCTCCTGGGAGACCTGTGCGTCTGCCGCAGAAGCCTCTGACGATCAGCGCTCGTCACGCAGAAACACAGAATGCGGGGCCTGGAGAGCTCTGCGTCACACATTTTCCATAAAAATGCTTTTCAGGTTTTTTTTTTTCACTTACTTGAAAGGCACAGACAGAAACAGACAAATATACAGAGAGATCTCCCATCTGCTGGTTCATTCCCCAAATGCCCACAGCAGCTGGGACTGGGCCAGGTCCAAGCCAGAGCAGGGAACTCAATTCAAGTCTCCCACAGGAGACGGGAACCCAAGTACCTCGTCCCTCGCTGCTGCCTCCCAGGTGTGCAGCTCTTCTTTTCCCTTGTTGATTGACACGTACTAACCTTGTGTGTTAGGGACATGGGCCATTTCGGTGCGTGTGCACACTGTGTGATCAGCCTCTGTCATAACCACAGACGTTTCTCATTTCAAAATCTTCTCTCCATTAACAGTGGCGGCCACTTCTGCTCACACCTTCAAGAAATGTCTGCACAGCCGTTCACCTGCTTTGAGTTGGATTATTCAGGGCTGGGTTTTGGGGGTTGCTTGTTTTGTTTTGTCCTTTTGTTTTGACGCTGTTTGGGTTCCTTATTCATTCTGGAAGCCAATCCCTGTGGAAGGAAGAGTCTCGAATGTCTCCTGTTCTGCAGGTTGGCTGCTCAGCTATTTCCTCTGCTGCACGGAAACTGAGTGTAATGTGACCCCACTTGCCACTCTGCTTTTGTTGCTGTGCTTTGGGGTCCAACTCCAAGAGTCTTTGCCCAGACTTGTGCCCCAAAATGTTTCCTCCATACTTCCTGCTGGCGGTTTCGTGGTCTTGGATCTCAGGTTTCAGCGTCCGGCCCACTTCGCCTTGGGTTCTGTGTGTGGTGAGAATGGGGCTCCTGTGCTTTCCCTGCAGGTGGGTCCCCGGTTCCCCCAGGATCGTTGACTGCGGCCTTCTCCCAGCAGAGTTCTTCCTCCCTGTGTGGAGGATCGGCCGTCTATGTGCGTTTGCTCTTCCTGGGCTCCCTCTTCTCTTCCATCACCAGTGCCACGGTTCCGGTCCTGGCTGCTCTGCTTCTGATCCAGCTTCCTGCTAATGCCCCTGGGAAGACAGCAGATGATGGTCCAGTGCTTGGGCTGCTGCACTCATGTGGGAGACCCAGGCTCCTGACTTCGGCCTGGCCCAGCCCCAGCTATTGCAGTCATTTGAGGAGTGAGAAGATCTTCTCTCTGTCTCTTGCTGATGCTCTTTGTTTCAAATAAACAAATAAATGATTTTTTAAAAGAAGAATGAGATGTCAGTCTTTGTATTCATATGAAGGCTCTACCAGAAGCTCATGGAAAGTGCGTGTTAGGAGAAAACTATACATGGATTTCAAAACTTCAATTTTTTTGCACCAGATAAGCTTCCTTTTTAAATTTATTTTCTTCAAACTTTTGGAAGTATCCTCTTACAGCATTCCAGTGTATTTGACATAAAAACATGTTCTTAGTATTTATAATTGATTATTTTTGACATTTTAATGAAGGATTCTCATACTGGGAACATCATGCTCAGTCAAAGGAGCCACCCACGGAAGAGCACATGTGTGTGAGTCCCAGTTACAGAAGAGCACACGTGTGTGAGTCCCAGTTACAGAAGAGCACACGTGTGTGAGTTCCAGTACAGAAGAGCACATGTGTGTGAGTCCCAGTTACAGAAGAGCACACGTGTGTGAGTCCCAGCCATAGAAGAGCACACATGTGTGAGTCCCAGTTACAGAAGAGCACACGTGTGTGAGTTCCAGTCACAGAGGAACACATGTGTGTGAGTCCCAGTCATGGAAGAACACACGTATGTGAGTTCCAGCCATAGAAGAGCACACGTGTGTGAGTCCCAGCCCTGAACAGCGGGTGCCATGCGACTCCTTGGACACAGAGAGGGAACTGGGGGCGAGTGCCAATGTTTCTAATGGGTCCTCTTTCTGCATGAGGCAGATACCCCCAAATTAGGTAGTGGTGGTATTTGCACAGCCTCGTGAGTGCACAGACGATCAAGAGTCCTACACATGCAAAGGTGGATTTTCTGTGTGAGTTCTTCCCCATAGAACTCCTGGGGGCAGCAGAAAGGGAGAGAGAGAGAGAGACAGAGAGAGAGAGAGAGAGAGAGGAGGGGACAGAGGGAGAGAGAGGGGGAGAGAGGGGGGAAAGAAGGGGAGAGACGGGGAGGGAGAAGGTCAGACAGGGAGGGGGAGAGAGGGGGAGAGAGCAATGGGGGAAGGGAAAGAGGAAGAGGAACCTCTGGAGCCAAAGTCCAGGTAGAACCTCACCCCCAAACGGGAACAAACCACAAACAGAGCGCAACAGGAGAGTGAGGGCTGCTCGTGCCTTGACACAATTTCATTCTGTTTGGAGAGAGGCAAAGGCTGGATTTGCAAGGATGGGTTTGTGGTTCTCCCACCAGTCTGGAGAGAAGGCCATGAGGGAGGCAGGCATGTCTGAGGGGCATGAGTGTCAGTGTGCAGGAGGCGTCCTGTCTCACCACGAAGTCATCCCCCAGTGCCCCTCTTCCTGCCACACCCCTGGGCTCCTGCAGGCCCAGGTCCTCGGAGCACTGAGATTCCAGCTCGGACTTGGCTGCTCAGGACACTTCAGCTGGAAATCTGCCCAGAAAAATCAGTGGTGACTCAGTGAGCCATTGTGTCGTATTTGAAAGTCAAAGTTACACAGAGAGAGAAGGAGAGGCAGAGAGAGAGAGAGAGAGGTGTCTTCCAACCGCTGGTTCACTCCCCAGTTAGCCGTAACAGCTGGAGCTCCCACGTGGGTGCAGGGACCCAAGGACCTGGGCCATCTTCTACTGCTTTCCCAGGCCATAGCGGAGCGTGCTCGGATTTTCATCACGCACTGTGGAGACCTCGCGTTAAAGCAGGAAGTGTGGGTGGTGGCCCAGGCCCCCGGCACCCACAGAAGTGGAGCTGGGCCTGAGCCCGCAGAAGGGACTCTTGGGGCCAGGGGTCTGTCTTCCAATTCCTTTGCAAAGTGGACAAGTGAGGTACCGCCCTGCCCAAAGCTCTGTCATTTCTCTGGGAATTTGCTGGGGAGAAGCCCTCTGCCTGTGGCCAGTGCATTCCTGTGTGAGATGAAAACTACCTCTGACGCAGATCCTCAGGTCATCTCTGGATAGGTGATTAGCTCAACAATCATGCAAGAAGCACCCCTCAGGACCCCTGTGCCCTGCCCCCGCTGGCCCAGGGCTGAGGGGTGGAGTGGTCAGAGTGGGCAGTGTGACCGAGGAGGGTGAGAACGGTGACGCGACTGCCTGGCCAGGGCTGCTCGGGACGACTGTGGCTCACCACACTTGCCCGCGAGTCTGACTCTGGCTCAGGGACAAGCGATGGCCTTCAGAAGCCACAGCCCCTGTGGCAGGAGCTGTGGGCAGGCGTCACCTTCACAGACCAGAGCAGGAGAGGTTGTCAGGGCCAGGTCACGGCCCCTGCACCAGCTGTCCTGGCTCCAGCTGTCCCATGGGAGGTCGCGGCTCATCCAGCTCATCTCTGGGGCCCAGCAAAATCCGCTGGCTGCCTGGGAAGGAGGTGAAGAGGCTGCCAGTCTTCCCTGTGCTCTGCGTGACCCCTGCCCTGCGCCTATTTCTATGGAAACACCCAGTTTGATTTCGTTCTCCAAATATTTATGTTTACCACGGAAAAGATTTACTTTTTTTGAAGGACAGGCTTTGAACAATTTGCAATTCTTGTCAGTGTCTCTACATTTGCATTCTCATTTATGAATACCTTGTCAAATACTGACTGCCACGGGCAGGGTCCTTCTCAGTGGGTTTTGTTCTGGGATCTGAGCTCTACAAGGTTGTTACTTGCTCTGCTCAGCAGGTGTGCGGGAGGCCAGACCTCCTGGGTGGCATCTCTTTGGCACAAGCTCCAGACTGAACTCCAGAAAATCAGCTCTGTGTTTCTGGGGTTTGTGGGCCTGTTAAGTATCTTCCTGTATCTGAGGAATGATTTAAGCTTAGTAAATTTTATTTTGCCAAAATAAATAAAGCCAGCAGCAGCAAACCTCATGCAGTCACTGATGGGAAGTGGGTGGATGGGGGAGGCCCGGGGGCAGCAGAGAGGGTGCTGCTGGCTGAGGCAGGTGTCAGCCCCCCATCTTCTGCGTGGCCGTGGGCCCTGTCCCAGGCCTCAGATGTGGCCACAGCTGGCCTTGAGGGCTCCTCACAGATGCTGAGGCCTCTGAGTCCTGAGTGGCTCAGTGCAAGGGGAGGCCCTCGGCAGGTTGCAGGGTGCAGGTGCCCCTCCCTGTCCATCCTGGGAAGTGGGGCACTGGGTCCCCCAGACCCAGAGTTGGCCCCCGCCAGGCCCTGGAGACCCTTCTGTGAACAACTGCTGACTGTGCACACAGTATGCAGTGAGCTGCTGTTGGTTCTGGGATTACATAGGCTCCGGGAACAAGCCACTGGGAAGTGCCCAGCTCTGCCGGGCAGGTGGGCCACAAGCACTCCCTCTGGCTCCCAGCAACCTCAGCAGAAGGCCCCTGGGTTAAAAAAGAGGAGCTACAGTCAGAAAGGGGCCAGGGAGGACCCGTGAGACCTTGGAGGTCTAGGGTGCAGCCACTGCCTGTGCATTAGACAGCACCCATGGGTTTTGCTGGACTATCGTGTAGAACAGGGTGAGAGGAGCCAGGGGCCAGCCTGCTGTGGCCCACCCTCAGCTGCTCCTTGGCTGCGACGTCCCGGACACCAGGATCCTGGCCCTGTGCCGTTCCCCAGGCAGCAGGAGCAGCCGGGGCGCCTGTGAGGGTGGCCTGTGCCTCAGGCGTGTCCTGAGAAAAGGGAAGTTGCCGCGCTGCAGCGTGGAGCTTTGCAGAACAGACAGCGGACACTGACCTCTCCAGGGTCTGGGCCCTGCCCAAGCAGGGTTCCCCGGGCTGGAGGGCGACTGTTTCCTGTTTAGACCCAGGAAAGGAGTGGAGTTGTCAGGCGGAGGTGGCCTTGCCCATGTCAGCCCCAACAACAGCACAGAGAAGTAGAAGCCGGGAGGTTCTGGAGGAAGGGCCATGAGCATGAGGGCCCGACAGTGGCAGCCACACCGCTCTGCTGGGGTCACCATGACCTGCCACAGAAAGCGCCTCTGTCAGGGATTCCGCAGGGGCCAGGGCGTATGACTGTCAGTCTCGGTGTCCAGGGGGCTATCTCAGTCTCTGAGCCTGTGTGCCCAGGGGGCTGTCTCGGTCTCTGAGCCTGTGTGGCCAGGGGGCTGTCTCGGTCTCTGAGCCTGTGTGCCCAGGGGGCTGTCTCGGTCTCTGAGCCTGTGTGGCCAGGGGGCTGTCTCAGGCTCTGGTGTGTCCTCCCCTTGCCCAGCCCCTGTGCGTGCTCGTGCTGCCCCAGATCAACACCTTCACTCCCTGGGGGGGTCTTGCTCCACCTGCTTCACATGGACAGCCCCTCCTCCCTTATCTAACCATTTTTGGCAGTCAGGTGTTTGCAAAATCCCAGCTTCAGACCACAGAAGCCCTCCTGAGCCTCCCACACACATGCAGTGCAGCACGCAGACTGCAGAGTGGTGTGTACACGCTCTGTGTGTTCTTTTAAGCTTTCATTGTTATTATAGGCTCCACCGTTAAGACAGTTTTAAAACTGGAGGAAAATGGAGAGGGGCCCAGAGCTGCCCTGCCCCCGCCTGCTGTCAGTCACTGAAGCCCACTCTGAGTTCAGAGTCCCTGTGTCCTGAGGTCCGTCTCCCGTCCAGGACCTCACGTGACCTGTGGTCGCTGTGTCTCTCCCCTGGCTCCTCTGGGCTGGGACCGTTTGAGGGGTGCTCTGTGGCGGTGTGGCGGTGACCCCATGGGAACTTGTCCAACATTCTCTCGCAGTTGGACTGGGTTTGGGATGTGGGGGAGGAAGACCAGAGAGGTGAAGGCCTCCTGGTCACAGCATGTCCAGGAGGGCACTAACAGCAAGCACGCCACAGCTTGGGACCCTGGCCGCCTGCTGGGCTGAGTGTGGGGCTCCTTTTCTTCCCTTCCCCTGTTGCACCTGTGGAAAAACGGAATTACATTTGTTTTAGTGCAGACACGCCTGAAGCCATGCCTGGTTTTCCACAGGTGCTTTTTCCGTGAACTGTGCTAATGCAGCGTGATTTCCTGGAGATCCTTTGCCTTCTTTCTCCTATCTGCACAGGAACTTGTTGGAGCAATTCTCCCTGGCATGCAACTGGGATGCAAATGACATCAACAAACTTTAGAAAACGTAATTTTCCACTGATTTAATGAATTATTGGAAGAGGGGGTTCTGGGTCCAAGGCACGAGCGTTTGCAATTCTGTTGAAC